AAAAAAAATTAGAAAATAAAAAATCATGTAAACCTCATAATTTTAGAGAAATTAAATAAGCGAATAATTCAATCAGTTTCTTCCGGTATAAGCCCCATATTAAGATTCATGTCTAGAATGTTCTTTCGATATTCCTCCGCCTCCCTAACCCTTCACCCCCTTCCTCTCCCTGCCAACTCAACGGCTTGAACGTTACCGCCGTCCGCCGGCATATTCGACGTAGGCCGCGGTAGAGGAGCGACCAGTTGCCTGCCGCAGCTTTTGCCGACCGAGGCCTCGCGCTATTCGTTGCAGATGAGGCCATATCGTCGCTAGACTGCTTGGACGCGAGGTAAAGTCGGCAACAACGGCCTAGATTTGCGCGTTTGCGAACGTCTCTGCGGCGAACGGCCGCAATGACTGCGAGAATTTCGAACTGGGGAGTTTAGATCTTCTGTGAACAAATTTTATATGTTTAATCATAGAGAACTCGAGTTAATTATAAATGCTAAAAGATAGAAACATTAAACAAGTCACGAAAAGGAAAAGAATCGGCGACAGGCCACATCAGGCCTACACTGCAGCGCCGAGATCAATATGTTATAAGAAAACTACTCCTACACCACAGCAATCAACCCCCACAACAAGATAAACAACTCCTAGTTATAGTAATCACGGATACCAAAGTAATTACCCTCAAAACTATGGAAATCAAATGTTACAACATGCAAATCGGCCCGTTTAACGCGGTAATCAACGCGTACACAACGGTAATCCAGCCCTACACCATGGTAATTCAGCCCTACACTACGGTAATCCAGCCCTACACCATGGTAATCCAGCCCTACACCATGGTAATCAACCCATTCACCGCAGTTATCTGCCCCACAAATGCTCCTAGTAATAAATTCTAATACTTGAATACTTGGTTATCATCTTCTAGTCTTCTGTTAACAACCTTAGTCTACTACTAAAGTACTTTCTTCTAGCGGTGCTAGCATTTAAATATAGGCTGTTAGAACTGTCGCCGATTCTTAACATCTCAGAACATTCACAGCGTATTGCGGGTCTCGAACGTACAACTCACTACTCCGATTTTGCTGTCCTTAACCGCCCGGCCTCCTCGCCGATTCTAACCAGAAACTGTCGCAGGTAGCTGAGATCGGACCCGAACCACTCTGCACTAATCCAAGGACTCTGAACTGTAACCACTGGCCACCCTGCCTTATGCAAGCATCAACCCCGAGCCAACCTCAAACCATTCTTTTCAGCCCTTAAACCAAAGGTACAAAACTTCCAGACCAAGGCCAATAACCCCTGTTTCTGGGTCACTGAAGCTTCGTTTTCACCCCCTAAACCAAAGGTATCAACCTCCCTACCAAGGCCAACAACCCCTGTTTCTGGGTCAGTAAAGCTTCGTTTTCAGCCCCTAAACCAAAGGTATCAACCTCCAGACCAAGGCCAACAACCCCTGTTTCTGGGTCACTAAAGCTTCGTTTCGAACACACGTGCCATCTCCTCAGGACCTAACCAGCTTTCCAGCAGCATCCACGTGTCCCCAGCCTTCAAGGGGGACGGACATGGCTTCTTCTTCCTCATTATGTTGTACTTGAAGCAAAAGTGATGTTCCTTCGTCATGTGGTCGTTGCACATTTTATCACAACTAGCATAGAACCAACGTCCATCATCATCAAGATCCTCCAGGGCAATTTGCGTGATGTGCGTGACGGTGTGGGAACCCTGCTGGTAGGATACGGCGCGTAGCATCCTGCCGTCTGTTCCGAGCAGCAGCGCAGACCCGTGCGTGTGTAGGTCTAATTTTTGTAGAGTAGTGTACGTTTTACGGGTCACCAGCAACTGTGGGCAGAGTTACGTCATCTTACTAAAGAAATAGTTTAAGAACCACTTTGCATAAATTTCTAAATACCTTTTGAGTATCTAAAACCTTTGCGGTGATGAATGAAATTTCTCTAAATTGATGAAAATAATTCAACCATAGACGAACTCGTTCGATACCTTTCCACTGTCCGATAATCTAAGAGTTCATGTAGAAACCACATCATTTACTAAAGTGTGAATCATCCGCTTCTTTCACAACATTATATTCCCGTAACAATAAATTTGTACCATTCTCTGCCAGACTATCTTACGTTGTAGGTTGTCAGTCCCAATATCTTAGTTACAAGTTAGTTAGTTGGTTATCATTACCTGGGTTCTTATTTCATCTTTCTGAGTGCGCCCGATGTTCAAACAATAGATATTTGGTCCGAATCGCTCCAAGACCTCTTCCCAGTCCAGATAGAACGACACGTTGCCGAACATATTGTGCCTTCGGACTGGCCACATGCCCTGGCACCATAACACCTGAACGAAGGTCAAGAAAGCTGTGGTCAGTCGAAAGCAGCTTAAAAATAAATCTAGTAATGACAAACGAATGACCTACGTTTACGACTATTGCAAGATTAATAGTTGGCTAATGTCTGGGCAGCACTCGTTGATAACGAGTTAAATTAGTTTACTCGAGCAGTGTCAACGTAAACCAGTAGGTACAGGCGGCAAACTTGTCCCAGCCCGTATAGGGCTTCATCGTGGGAGAACAGTCGGATAGATGATTGATCATAGAAATTTAATGTCTATCTGCTAGAAATTTCAAGGAGGTTTGACCAAAATTAATAACTCCCATGCAGATATTCCTGTGCCAACCCATATTTCAATCTGATAGTTGACATCTTTGCAAAGAAGCATCGTTGGAGCATCCAAATGTCATGCAAATTGGGCACACGCAAAGTGGTGCCTCCTAGGAGTCGACAAAGTTTTTTCCAACTTGAAATTTCCACCAGGTTTCACTTCCGCGTGTGCTCTGTGTTTTTCAATTCAAACGAAATCATAATCTAGCTGCAATGAAAGCGCTTTTGTTTTAAACAAGTTAAGGGATTTTCACATCTGCCTGATTTTAGTTATATGGTATGCTATTCGTTTATCAACCAACCTTGATATCTGCCACTTCCTTTTTTCTATTGGAGGCAATAGTGGAAGATGGAAGATGTTCTTCTGTTATGATCTCTATGGCGTCCTCGAGGTGTACGCACCGGCTTAGTCTCTCCAGGGGAAGGTACTGAGGACACGGCAGCAGACTAGCATCTGGTGGAAAGGCTTAATAAATCCTGTCCTCAATCTGCTTTAATTTCACAGGATGTGAGAAACACTCTGATGGACTCTTATAGCTTGAGATGTTAGCGAGTTATTAAATTAATGATATCATCCTTTAGATTCATGAAAATACATAGAAATATATAATTTACGTAAGGGATATTGTTCAAAAATGAAAATTCAGTCAAAATTAAATATAATTTTATGGACATGTATTGAACATGTAACCGCACGCGTTTTTCAAGCTACTAATCCCAAACACTATCACTCACCAATATCAGTTAATCCTAAAACATCAGGTTTACCAACATCTTCATTCATCTCAGTGACCAGGTAAAGCTTAGGGCTGACTTCCGGGTTGTTCCAAACACTCCAACTGTCAGGGCGGATAACTGCTGATCCCATCTCCTCCGAGTCCAAATCATCGACCAAGCGCATGCTCGAAGGTGGGAAACTTACACCAAAAATCTCAACACCTTTCGTCAAGACTTCATTGAGGACAGAAATAGAACTGAATCCAATTATTATTCTCGACAAGACCACTTTGCATGAGGTGATACTGTCTTCCATGATGAACTGATTGCTCCGCACCAGCTCCTCCCTCAATTCTCCCACTTCACCATCGTTAAAGAGGTTGTCCACGAACTTGATGACTATCCGTTTACTGAAGTCCAATTCTTCTTCATCTTCTTCGCACATTTGAAACGAATCACTTGATATCGCGTCGCTGTATATGCTTTCTTGATCACTGTCCGTTTGAGTGCTTTCATCTTCCTCGCTCATTTGAAACGAAGCACTTGATATAGCGTCGCTGTGTACGCTTACTTCATCACTGTCCTCCGTTTCAATGTTCCCTTCTATAGCTCCCGTTGCTACTGAGGAATCGTTGACTAGCGGTTTACTGTCTTTAGGTTGGGGTTTGCTTCTACTTGTTCCGCGGTGGCCAATACCGAGTTTTGTGAGACTTCCTAAGAGATTTTTATCATGGGACTCCGGCAGTTTTTTGGTCTGAAGCAGAGAGTGAAGATTGGCAGCATCAGTAGAAGTTTCTGCGCATTTAGGTTGCGATACTTCCTCATCTTGTTGCCCATCGTTAAACCGGTTAGGTCTGGGGAGGTGAGGAGAGTGTTCAATACTATCATCGTAGAACCAACGTCCGTCTCCGTGGAGATCCTCCAAGGCGATTTGTGTGAAGTGAGTGACTGTGTGAGTTGCCTGCTGGTAGGAGACAGCGTTCAGGATCCTGCCGTGTTGTCCAAGCAGCAACGCAGAACCGTGCGTGTGTAGGTCTAATTTCATCAGACTGGTATACGTCCTCCGGGTTACCAGTACCTTTAGAGAGTGTAAAAAGTAAGAATTCAGTAAGAGACTATCATATACGTATGTGATAAGTACTTCTTATTATCCTTTCCCTGAGCTGAAAGCTTATTCAATCCGTGCTTGAGCACGCCCATTGTGCATGTCACAAGTTAAGTTACATTCAGGCCCCTAAGTGAATAAAGAATAATTACAATACTAACAAATTAGGAGGCGCTTAATATAAGATTAGCATACAGTACATTGTTGACCGTATCTAAATTACAAAGAAATGCTTTACCTGTGTCCATATTTCGTTCATATGAGTGCGGGTTCTGCTAATGATGTAAATGTTGGGCCCAAAGAGTTGCCAGACCTTTTCCCAGTCCAGATAATGCATCGCTTTGCTGATCATGTTGCACTCTTCTGTCTGCCACATCGCCTGAGTCCAGAGTACCTGAAAAAAATGTTCTTGTACGATTAAATATCTGGAAGAAAAAAATTGCTAGCCCCGTGCTACTCAGAGTTGTACCTAACTAAACCTGCTCCTTGTAGGAGTACAGGCGCATCGGCATCCGCTATTTCAATGGTGCACTCAGTGCAAGTAAGTGAACTTTTCTACCTCCGACGTTCCTATCAGTTCATTGCTTCACTTGGTGCTAATTGAGAGATCCTACCTTCAAACCTGCCAGTTCAGGTGTCTTGACATTCGGAAGAACTTGGCGTGGAGAATTGGCCACTTTTATGTTTGTTGTGGACCTTCCTTGATGCTCGCATCGGCATAGTCTCTTGAGGGGCAGGTACTGGGGACATGGCAGAAGACTGATACCTGTTGGAATTGATGTTGATACATGATAAAATTCGTACAAAACTTCTAATGGCGGAAAATGAACTAAATAGAATAATGCACAAACTGATGTCGTGAAGACATGAATTATACATTGATCTCTACGCAGAATTTTCAATGAATTGGACGATTGTCGAACAATCTATGAATGTTTACAAGGGTATTCAATGCAAATACAGTTCAAAATGAATTTTCTACATATCTAAATTTCAAAAATGGCAAAACGTGGTTGGGCGTTACTTTTTCATTCTCACCTCTTCGACCATCAGCTAGTCCCTGAACGTCATCTTCGTTAGTAGAGTCGTCCTCATCTGAGACCGTTTCACGATGTGGGCCCCGAATTTTAATTGCCCCAACACCACAGTTCCTGCTTCTCGTGCCAGCTGGTACCCAAGCCTTCGTGTCTACTTCTTCCACCAAACTTATACTGGAGGGCGGGAAGCGAACTTTGTAAATCTGAAGACCGCTCTTCAAGACTTCTTTAAGGACTGAACTCGAACAGAAGCCGATTATTATTCTCGACAAGACCACCCTACACGAGGTGATACTCTCTTTTGAGATAAACAGATTACTCCGCACGAGCTCCTCCCTGACGTCTGCCACTTCGTCATAGCTGAAGAGGTAGTCCACAAACTTAAGAACTACTCGCTTATTGAAGGATACTTCCGGGACAACTTGCCCGGAAACTTTAAGCGAGTTTGTTGACATCGTGTCCTTAGGGGTTGTTTCTTTCTCTGGAGTTCACTGCAGGGGAAATCTTGATAGCATGAGATGGCTATGCAAATTCGTGTTTCCGACGTTAGTCTATTTCGATGGTTGCGTTTAACATTATGTTTTTTCTTTTTGACTTTAGAAGATTAGTCATCAGTTTTTATCTAGAGAATTGATCGTAGTTCCGATATCATTAAACATGATCGCTTGACATTAGGTTGTGCCAAGTTCATTCTCATTGGTTCTCATAGTTGCTTTATTCTCGTCTAGGGGGCTGAAAGATTGTGCAGTATCGTCGGTATTTGTACCATTCATCCGAGAGCTTCTGTATGTATACGTTTTCGGCATATTATTATTTTTCAGATTTCGTGCAGTGATTCGGTTGTAGCAAAGGCAGAAGATGGGTAATAACACTTGCATGTGATGTTGTAAATAATCAGTGTATAGTGGCAGATCTACACTGTAGACACCAACACTGCACAGTGCATGCGAACAATCTACACTGTAAACACCAACACTGCACAGTGCACGCGAACAATCTACACTGTAAACACCAACACTGCACAGTGCACGCGAACAATCTACACTGTAAACACCAACACTGCACAGTGCACAGCCAGCGCGCTTTGTTTGCTCTATTATCTCTTATCTCGACGCAGCTGACCAGCCGTTATCTCCCAGCTGCTAATGCAACCCTGGTGACCTGCAACGTCAACACCATCAACGGCAACACCATAAACGTCAACACCATCAACGTCAACACCATCAACGTCAACACCATCAACGTCAACGTCATCAACGTCATCACCATCAACGTCATCACCATCCAAACAAGGCACTTTTTAAACCACTTTCAGACCACTTAAAACAAGTTACATTTTACCGCTCCTGACAGAACATAAGCAACACTTTCAAATCCTCAAGCCACAGGAACCAAAGTCCTCCCAGTAGATCCTTTATCCCTTGAGGGACTCGGTTGTTGGCGTGAAACTTACCAACCCCTCCGACCCTTACATTCACTTTAAATACTTATTTTCAACACTTGTAAATATAGCCAAAACTCAACAGAAACCCTACTCCCACAATAGTTAGCATTTCCCTTTATCAAACCATCCCGCTTTATTAACACACACACATCCGTACACGTTCCACTGGACATCTTCTCATTACCTCGACAGAACCAATATACTGTCACTTTTTCTTGGTATATAAAGACTGAAAGACTTCCAAGTCTCTGTTACGGTGTTACAGACCGCTTCGAGGCCACCTCATTGAAATTTAACGGTATACTCACGCTTTATTTAAGATTCAAGAAATATTAAAGGAACATAGAACATGAACAAACACCACGAACCATATTAATAACCTGAAGAAATGTATGATTCCTTGTGTGATATATATGTACTTTCATCTATAGACTATAAGGCCTTGCAGGTGTCCAGTAGCTTTGTTACATCGAAGTCGGTTTCTGATGTATAGAGACGACAGGTAAGATTTGGCGACGACGCTCCTCTCAGAGAGTATGACACTAAATCGTTACCATGGGCTGGGAATGTTGTGATTCTAACACGTGTTCCATCTCTTCGGGACTTAGCATGCTTTCCAGCAGCATTGTTGCTTCTTCCGCCTTCAGTGGGTAAGGACACGGCTTCTTATTTTTCTTCAAGATAGTGTGCTTGAAGCAAATGTGGTGTTCCTTCGTCATGTGGTCATTACACATGATATCGGTACCAGCGTAGAACCAACGTCCATCGTCATCCAGATCCTCCAGGGCAATTTGCGTGATGTGCGTGGCGATGTGGGATGTCTTCTGATAGGATACGGCGCGTAGCATCCTGCCGTCTCGTCCGAGAAGCAGCGCAGACCCGTGCTTGTGTAGGTCTAACTTCTGCAAACTGGGGTACGTCTTATTTGTCACCAACACCTGTAGACAGAGTTAAGTATTCATGTGAGATATTGCAATAGACTTATACCCCAACTGTGATTCAATTGGGTGGACCCTTACATTAGTTCGACCAACCCTTTAATAGCACAGGGCCCAGATGGCATACATCCCAGACTGTTGAGAGAAGCAAGCAACGAGTTATCTAAAGGTGCTTATACACTGGGTTAGTATTCGCTCCGAGTACTCGCGGTGAGTCCAGTTTTGCTGGCTGAGAACCTATACACGTACGATGAGAGGGTTTGGTTAACAGTCCGCACTCCGCAGGCGCCAGTGCGTCGTTGGGAGCTGTCGAGTGAGGTGTGCGCGTGGTGGCATATGGAACATTCCGATAATGACGCGTTTGAGGAAGCAGTTGGTGGCATAGTTGCTAATCTTGCTGAGTAGGTGATAAACTTTGTAGATCAGCATGGAGTGTGGTTGAGAGACTTAATAAGATTTCGTTCAAGTTTCAAAACACTTCTATCTCAATTAGTTGTTGATGGAATCTTCATCGTAACGAACATTCCACAGTGGATCGTATTTTCGAAATATCCATAAGAACAGTTAAATATCATCTGAATTCCTCTTGACCTTCTTAGAACCGTTGTCGTTGGGACAAGACAAAGTTCATAACATTAGAAACAATTGTCCTAAGCAATATACGAAGCGGCACAAATATACACGCTACGGCTTCCGCAGCCCTACTGCCAATACTAGACCGCAAATTAACAACCTTTGAACTGTTTCAGATACAAACGCATCTGTTACTCGGATCTGAAGAATAAATCATCACAATGCTTAGAGTGCGAATCCTCGCAGCTAACACTAGCGCCTAGCATAAGCACCTTTAGATGCTGCGTCTAGTGTCAGAGTACATGACCAAGTCTTTCGCTACCAGTAACTCTTCTAATGTACGCCAATCGATGTTGGAGAGACATGTAACGCAACCTATTGACCACGAAGACTTCATTAGAGGTCATGCTGAATATTTCAATCACAATAAGCTGAAGCAAGAAGATGATGTCAATCGAGTCAATCCAAAGAACGAAGCTGTTTAACAGCTAAATTTGCGGCCAACGGCTGCGCTCCTCTCCACCAGCATATTATTTCCTTGATAGCACTAAATTACAATTTATTGCCAGACTAACTTAAGATTCAAGTTTTCAAAGCCAACATCTTAGTTAGAAGCCTTCATTACCTGGGTTCTTATTTCTTCTTTCTGAGTGAGCGCGGTCCTCAAGATGTAAATGTTGGGTCCGAAGCGCTGGAAGACCTCTTCCCAGTCCCGGTAGAACGACACGTTGCCGAACATGTTGTGCCTGCGGAATGACCACATGCCCTGGCACCAGAACACCTGTAAGTTATGGTGTTCATTGATATTTTAATCGCTAAATTTATCTAATCAAACTGAAAAATTTTTACAACGTAATGACAGAAGAAATAAATCGAGTCTGCCATGACATTATACTTAAAATCAATTTGTCACGGACGGATAACATTCATAACCAGCAATGGTTGAATTTATGGCAATAAATAATTGTTTTCAGATATCAGCCCCTAGACACAAGTTCCCACTGACTCGTGTCCACGTGAGTCATTGGGTGCGGGAAAGCTAACAAGTTTGAATTCTTGTATCCGGTCAAATGACAAGATTTTAGATCTTCTATGAACAAGTCACGAAAAGTTCAAGATTCGGCGACAGGCCACATCAGGCCTACTCTTTAGCGCCGACATTACTATGTTATGTTATGTCGTCGAAGCTTTGACAATGTACGAAGCTGATCAGCTAGTTTCACGTAATTTATTTGGCTGAGGCTGGATCTTCATAATTAAATAGGGATAGATCCTATAGTCCACATAACTTTCAACATATCTGCCTTTTAAATAGTACAAAGGGGCTTGAAAACTTTCTGCCGAGGTGCCTTCATAATTACTAACGGCACATGTGCCTGAGGTTTCAACCGGCTCTCTATATATAGGGCCGACCTTAGTTGAGCTACGCAGTGTACTTTTCTAGTCAATAGACATTTGAATCTTTTTGAAATAGTTTTTACCATGCCAGCTCAGAAAACCCATTTTCGTATATGAAACTTTGAGTTATAATGTTTACTTCTACTGTGAACCTACCTTGGTATCTACTAATTCACGTTTGCTTTCAATTTTAAGCTCAAACGATGGAAGATATTTTTTCCTGATGATCTCCACTGCCTCTTCGAGGTGAACGCACC